TAAACTCTAATGACCAAAATGGGAATTTATTTAATTTAGAAGTAAATTAGAGGTTGGTACCAAAGTTGAAGACTCAAATTTAAGAGTTTTTTCAAGGTTAAAACCCCTTTTTGGTCCCTGAACTATTATATGGACCCGGATTTGGTCCCTAAACTAAAAAAATCCCTAATTTAGTCCCTACTGTTTACCATTTTTACCCCGATTTGGTCCTTCCGTCAAATATCAACCTACGTGTCCCGTTACTTGACGGGGAAAACGATGACCTGTTAAAACATTTTGACACCTAGGATGTACAGTGTGAAAAAAAAAGAGATGGTAAGAAAAAAATCTTAAAAAATTTCTTATTCTTTCTTTTTTTCTTCGTTTGTTTTTCCTTTTTCCCTTTCTTCTTCCTCTCCCTTTCCTTTAACCTTCTGCAAACCCTAATTCCTAATATTAAATTCGAGGATAACACAACAAATCAACAGATTAAACTCAATAGATATTTGACCTAACGACTGCTGGGTTCGAAACGAAACCCAAAGCCTCACTTGTAGGAACTCAGTAGCTGCTCAAACCTAGCATTCAAAATTGAAAAATCGAACCCAGCATCGAACCTAACACCTAACACCTGCAGTAGTGCCTTCTTCATCTTCATCAATCAATTTTTTCATCACAATCAAACAACAAAATCCAAAAAACAAAAACAGAAATTTTTTTTAAAAAAATTTTTGCACCTGGGTTTGTACGAACCCAAACGCGAACCCAGCACGCTTGGGTTCCTTGCGAACCCAACGCCTGGGTTCGCAAGGAACCGAACCCAAGCGTGCTGGGTTCCACCAAACCCAGGCATGCTGGGTTCGATGCGAACCCAGACGTGAACTCAGCACCAGACGCGAATCTAACACCAGACGCGAACCTAGCACGCTTCGATTCCTTACGAACCCAACGCCTGGGTTCGCAAGGAATCGAACCCAAGCGTGCTGGGTTCCACCAAACCCAGGCATGCTGGGTTCGATGCGAACCCAGATGCGAACCTAGCACGCTTGGGTTCCTTGCGAACCTAGGCGCTAGGTTCACAAGGAACTGAACCCAAGCATGCTGGGTTCCATCGAACCCAGGCAAGCGTGCTGGG